ATATATATATATATAACATGGATGGTAACAGAGAGAGGCTAACACAGAGTACTAAGGGGGCTGTCCTGGGGCAAGGGGAGAAAGGGCCTCCTAGAGTTCATGGGGCCACAGTGGAGTCTTGAGGGATCTGTCAGTAACAGGTGGTGCGGGCTCTCCAGGCGGAAGTCCCTGATGGAACAGAGGCCAGGGCTGGAGGAAGCTGGCTCCATATGTGTGAGGTGTGAGAGACAGCCTAGTCCCAGGAGTCGAAGGCTTGCTGGAAGCCTTCTGAGAGGACAGTGACTTGAAGTGAGCGAGCCTGGTGCCAGACACTGGTGGCCACCTTCAGGGAGGCCTTCCGGAATCTCCCGAAAAAGGAGAGCCCCACAGCTCGCAGTGTGTCCTCTCTCGGACAGGGATTGTGCCTGTGGCTGGGCCCCCTCCATCCTCAGCAGAGCATTTCGAGAGCGACTGTTTGCTGAGGGCCCACTATGGCGGCACCGTTCTCCACACCTCCATGTGGGAACGGATTTCACTCTCTTCACAAACCTATGCCCTCAGAACTGTTTCTCAGACAAAGAAACTGAGGCACAGAGGGGTTAAGGACCTCCCCTCGCCCCAGGCCACACATCCAGAGTCAGACTCACCAGCCTGGCTCAGAGCGTTTAACCACCACGGCCCTTCCCTTTCAGCTTAACGGACAAGTCACCCCCAGTGTCCCCTGTCAGTATATGGCAATTTTCACCGTGCCAAATGTCTTCATGAGCCTCACCTCAACACCCAGACACATGGGAAATAGGGACCCCAGGTGACAGACAAGGGCAGTGACCCAGGCCCACTGAACCCAGGGGAGCAGGGGAGGTGGGTGGGGGTGTCCCCCAGGTCTCCTGACTACCCACCAGGTACGCTCTACCCTGTCTTCTTTTAGGGGCTCCTCACCCTTGTCCCGGGGTGAGGGGGTGGTTGACAGACTTACCCGCTTCTCATTGGACAAGTTGTTCACATCAATCCCACAGGCCACGTCAGGTGTGGGGAAGGTCTCAGACCAGCCCCCTCGGGTACAGTTTCGAAACATGGAACCTGTGGGTAAGAAGCAGCTGTGGGTGAGCCGTGGAGACAGCGACAGACAGCCGGGGCTCCTTGGTGCCCTTAGCCGCTGGGTCGGGGCAGCCTGGAGCTTCCTTCTGTCACTCTGTCCCCAGCTGCCTTCCTCTGGATACACAGTCAGCTCCCAGTTGGCCTGCTGATCCTTGGAGGACGTGTAAGAATCAGACAAAGTGAGGTAGGGGAAGGCTGTTTGGGGAGAAGGCCCTAGAAGGGGCCAAGACTCAGTGTGTGTGTGTGTGTGTGTGTGTTCGCGACACTATGTATGTGAGTGTGTGTGACAGTGTGTTTGGACAGCACAACATGACCAAGGCAAAGTCATAGACGCTTCACAGACACATCCAGAAGCCCTGAGAGACCAAGTTACTGGGCTGGGGCTGGGGACCATGGTCTCGGGGGACACGTAGCTCAATTGGTATAACATAGGCTATAAAGAAGATGTTCTACGTCCAACTGTGGTGAGTAGCAACTGGGCTCTTAAAAGCCTGCAAGCAGCCATCTAAGATACATCTACTGGTCCCGTCCCAGCTGGAGCAAAGGAGAATGAAGAAGACCAAAGACACAAGGGAAAGATTAGTCCAAAGGACTAATGGACCACAGTTACCACAACCTCCACCAGACTGAGCCCAGAACAACTAGATGGTGCCCAGTTACCACCACCGACTGTTCTAACACGGATCACAATAGAGGGTCCCAGACAGAGTGGGAGAAAAATGTAGAAAATTCACACACACACACACACAAAGACCAGGCCTGCTGGTCTGACAGAGACTGGAGAAACCCCGAGAGTATGGCCCTCGGACACCTTTTTAACTCAGTACTGAAGTCACTCCTGAGGTTCACCCTTCTGCCAAAGATTAGACAGGTCTATAGGGCCAGCAATAACACTCGTGAGGGTCGTGCTTTGTAGTTCAGTCACGTATACGAGAGTAATGGGCACACCAGCCCAAAAGCAAAGACAAGAAGGCAGGAAGGGCCAGGAAAACGGGACGAATCGAAACAGGGAAACCAGGGTGGAGAAGGGGCGAGTGTTGACACATCACGGGGTTGGCAACCAATGTCACAAAACAATTTGTGTATTAATTAGTTTAATGAGAAACTAATTTGCTCCGTAAGTTTTCACCTCAATCGCAATTAAAAAAAAAAAAAAAAAACGAATACAAAAATAAATAAGTGAAGTCTTAGGGAGAAAGCAAAAAAAAAAAAAAAGTAAGTTTGTGTAAGTATGTGTGTGAGAGTGTGTACAAGTATATCTGTGTGTGTGTCTGTGGGTGTGAATACTGCTGATCCCTGATACCTCAGTCTACAAACAAGGCCACCTCTGAACAAAACCCTCTCCACACCTACAAGCACTGCCTTCCTCCTCCTGGGACCCCTTTCCCGGCCTCACCGGTGCCCCTCCCTCCGCACACACCTACATCCCACACCCCAACTCTGACGGAGCCCTGGCTGTGTCCCAGGTACTGTGCCAGGCACTGAGGCTCCAGAGACAAGGGAGGTCGGCTGGCTCAGGCCGCATCACTCAACACTCAACAACTCCTTTCAACCAGTCCCCAGACGCTGATCCCTGAGCTCTGGAGGGCAGGACTGTGGCTGACTTGTCTCCCTTTCCAGCCCAGAGCCTTTGCTCATCAGAGCTTTGCTGGTTGGCCAGAAAAGGTGAATGAATGGGGAGGCAGAGCTGGCTCTGAGCTGGTAGGAGAGAAGCTGAGAGAGCTTTGCAACAAGGAGCTCGTAGAGCAGGGGCCCAAAGACTGAGGACGGGGAGTCAGTGGCCGAGAAGAAAGTCTGGGAAGCTGTAGGGGCGTTTCCGCCTGTCCGCATTCTGTGCTCTGGGGGGCCAAGGAGGGTTGAGTTCTGATCCCCGGGGTCTAACAGGTAGGGGTGCAGGGTGCAGGGCGCTGACCACTAGGGCTGTGGATGGGAGCCCTGTCACTGCCTCTGCCCTTTGCAAACAAGACAAAACCCCAACCAGCTGCCTTCAAGTCAGTTCCAACCCATGATGACCCCACGTGTGTCAGAGTAAACTTCACTCCCCAGGGTTTTCAATGGCCGATTTTCAAAAGTAGGTCACCAGGCCTTACCTCCGAGGCACCTCCGGGTGGATTTGAACCTCCAGCCTTTCAGTTAGCCTCTGAGTGCTTTAACCATTTACACCGCCCAGGGCCTCACTCTGGAGCCCCTTAAAAACCCTCTGCCGTCTGCTTTCTGGGATGGGCATGCTTCTCTCCAACAGACCTCAGGGTTTCGGGTCACACAGCTTCCACGGAGCTGGAGAAACACGGCTAGCGTTTATAGAACCAGCCTTTATGCTAAGTGCTTTACATCCAGCATCTGAGCTAATCCTCACACGGCCCCAGTGAGGAAGGTGCTGCTGGCCCAGTTTACAGATGAGAAAACCAAGGCCTACAATTGGCAACAGGACCCAGCCAGGACATGAGAGGCTGGGGTCTGGACCCCAAGCCTGTGTCCCCTCACTGTCCTGTACTACTGGTTAGCCAGCCCTCTCCCTGCATTCCCAGGGATAACTTCTAGCACCCAGAGACCGTGGCCTCTGGCCTCTGGGCATGGCTGGCCTACTCAGGGCAGGAGGCTTGGCCTGCGAGGGGCCAGCGCCCCAGAGGGGTCTCTGAGTGCTGCTCCCGGAATACAGGATTTGGAACCATCCAGATCCGAGTTCAAAACCCAGCTCTGCCCCTCGGTCACTGTAGGTCTTAGGTGCCTCACGTCTGTGCCAGATGGGAGTAGTCACCCAAACTGCAAGTGTCTGGTGAGGACGAAACAATCGCCTACATCAAGTGCCAGGCTGAGGCCTGGCACAGAGCGCGCACTCAGGGTGTTACTCCCTTCTGTTTGGCCTTTCCAGAATAGGCAGGGGCGGGCGGGGCTCAGAGGCTTGGGATTTAGGGGAAGGGCAGGAGATTTCTGTAACTAAATCAAGGGAGCCAGGCTGTCAGAGCCAGGAATATCCATAGGGACCGAGGGCAAGACAGGAAAGCATGCAGTCATATTTCAGCGGGTAGGACAGGGGAGTTAAGGCAACATAGACTCCCGTGAGCACAGCCGGAAGGGAGTCAGACAGGGCATGCTTGAAGAAGCCGCAGGCCTGCCTGCTTTGGGGCCCGCTCCTCACCCACCCAGCAGGATTCCTGAGACAGGACGCTGCATATAAGCCAGGCTAAGTGCCCAGAGCCACTCACAGGGTGCTGCCCCGTGGTGGTAGGGTGGCCCTGGACAGAGGTGGCTGCTGAGGGGCCCTGGTAAAACTGCAGAGGAGACACAGGGTGGGCTCTCCCTGCGGTACCTTCAAATCCCACCCCCACTTCCGCTGAGCTTAATTCCTATGGCAAAGGGGTCCTTAACCAGGTACAGGTCCATGGGACCCCTGAAATTATAGTCAGGTTTTGTGCGTGTATGTTGTCGTTGGCTGCGGTCCAGTCGGCCCCCCGACTCACAGCGACTCCATGCAGAACAGAAATGGGCCCAATGGGCAGTGCGGTATCACGCGGAGACCCTGCCTGGGGGTTTGGGGTGAGCCCTCGGGTTGGTTGGATAGCCCCGTCCTATGCCATCTCCATGATTGGCTGCGGATCAGACCGTTGTGATCCATGGGACTGTCACCAACTAATTTTCAGAAGTAGATCACCAGGCCTTTCTTCCCAGCCCACCTTAGTCTGGAAGCTCTGCTGAAACCTGCTCAGCATCCCAGCAACACACAGGCCTCCACTGACAGATGAGTGGTGGCTGCGCACGAGGGGCACTGGCTGGGAACCGAACCTGGGTCTCCTGCATGGAGGGCGAGAATTCTACCACAGAACCACCACTGCCCCAATTTTGAGAGCTTTTAGCAGATTCTCAAAGGGCTCCAGGACCCTAATGAGGGTAGGAACCACTGGTGCTTGAAGGCCCCAGTCCCCACTAAGACAGAGAAGCGATCACAGCCTGACCAGGAAGGATGTTTGTTAATAAGGGATTCTGGAAGATCAGCACCCTGTAAGAATCAAAGGAAGATTCCTAGAGGGAGCATTTTAGGCCCGGGCATGAGTAGGGAAGTACTGGGGCGGGGTCCAGGCTGCAGGTTCTCCAATCACGACACCCAGCCTGTCTGGCCCACAGAGCAGATGCCATGACAAGAAATTACTTTGTGATTTTTTTCTTCTTGAATAAGGAACACTACCTTAAACTCCCGAGTGCCTCTCCCTGAAAAAGGGCTGGGGCAGGGAGTCAGGCCCCTGGAATCCTGTGGGACACCCTTGAGGGGAACCCCCTTCCCGAGAGGAGAGGGGCGCAGGGTTCTATCAGACCCGGAGGTGGACTCTGGGGAGAGGAGGTTTTTGGTGAGTAATGGAGGTTGGACCAATTCTGGTCTCTGCTGTGTGAGCAGCAGCCACGAACACGTGTGAAAGGCACCTCTGACCCAGGGTGGGCCCCGGGGTGAGATGCCCCTCTCCCACCACCTCGGGGGCCTGCCCGACACCCCTATGCAGGGTCTCAGTGTGGAAGCGCACAGCCAGGCGGCCCCTGTGGCCCCACAGTGCCACCACGTGGCGGTGGGGAGAAACTGCAGCGGAGGGGAGCGGAGGGAGGTGCCCCTGGGCTCTTACTGGTGGACCCTGCGGCCCCACAGTGCCACCACGTGGCGGTGAGGAGAAACTGCAGCGGAGGGGAACAGAGGGAGGCGCCCCTGGGCTCTTCCTGGTGGACCCTGCGGCCCCACAGTGCCACCACGTGGCGGTGAGGAGAAACTGCAGCGGAGGGGAACGGAGGGAGGTGCCCCTGGGCTCTTACTGGCGGAGCTGAAGTTTGTTCACACTTCCCGGAGCAGGGCAGAGTACAGAGGGCTGTGAGGCTGAGAGGCCAAGGGCCAGAGAGAGTCCTGCCTGCGGGCATGGCTGAGAAGAGGCTGTCCTGATGGAAGAACTGTCTCCCGTGTCTTCCCTGACCCTGATTGTAACCCGTTACTTCCCTAACGGAGCCCTGGTGGCGCAGTGGTTAAGAGCTCGGCTGCTAACCAAAGATTGGCAGTTCGAATCCACCAGCCGCTCCTTGGAAACCCTATGGGGGCAGTTCTACTCTGTCCTAGAAGGCTGCTGTGAGTCAAAATCAACTCGATGGCAAAGGGTTAACAGGTTTACTTCCCTAATAAACCCCATAACGGTGAGTATGGTCTGTGAGTTCTGTGTGGCCATTGCAATAATTCTCGAACCCAGCAGAGGAGTAGAGAGTGCCATGGTGGGGGACGTCTGGTGTCAGAATTGGTAAAAAGTTTGGAGAGAGGAGGTATGTCTGACTTCCACCTCACAGGAACCAGCCTTGGGCTGATGATGGTTCTCCCCACTTCTGTAGATCCCACCGCCCTGCCATTTTTATAGGTCCCCTCCCCTCCCACGGCCACTCTGGAATGTGTATGTTGAAGATGTGGAAGCTGCAGGTTGTGAGGTACTGGGACCCTGAATCACCGCGTGGAGGAGAGCTACCTGCTAATCAAGAACAGCTGCTAGGGACTTTCTGTGGCCAGCATCGTATGAAGGCGTTGAGATTGGGAGGATTTATCTGTGACAGCTGCTAGCATCTCCCATCCCGCCCATGGAGGAGTGGGCTTCTAACAGGTCTATCTCACCCATTCCTCTTCCCTAAATCAGGGCTGTTGAGTCAGGCTGAGAGGGACATGAACTAGTGCAATGTGTTTCTCAGGTGTGTGTGTGTGTGTGTGCACGCCTGTTCGTGCGCCCACGTGTACTAGAGAATTATGGTGACAGCAATCTGCACCCCACTTTCAGACCACACGGTCTCCCTTGTCTTCTTTCCTTGCCTGTCTTTGGAAGGCTGCTGAGGTGACTGTTAAATAATCTGTCCTTGCTTTGTCCTTGTTAAGGGCCTCATCATCCTGCCCGGCATGAGTGAGTGGAGAAGGGGCAGCAGGCCAGGCCCTTCAATGAAAAATGACCCCACTGAGGGCAGGGGTCAAAGGCCACAAACTTACCCCGCCTCCCCGCCAGGGTTACCCTGACCGTTGGGCTGTAGAGACACCTTGACCATGACCTTGAGGACAGCACGCCGGCTTTGAAGTCCGAAAAATCTGGGTTCAAGTCCTAGTTCCTCCATCTTCTAGTTGTTCAGCTTTAGGCAAACTGCTAAACCTCTCTTAGTCCCAGTTACTGTTGCTATTTACCAGCTCAGCTGAGGGAGAAGAGGTGTGTGATTTGCAGGGGTTTTGTGGCGACTAAATGGGTCCACAGATACAGAAGTGGCGTGTAGTCGACCTTTAACCCATGTCAGTCCTTTGTGTTCTCCTGGTCTTAGACAACCGCCCCACTTCTGTGCCTGAAATTAAGGAAATCCCGGTAAACTGCAAGCTTTCCTCTGGCAAGAGATCCCATGGAGGCCAGGGCTCCCAGAGGACACGCTTTATTGACAGGGCCTGGCAGAATGGGCACAGAGGAAGTGAGCTTTCTGGAAGGCGGGGCTGGGGCCTAATGGGGCCCAAAGAGGGGGAGGGCTAAATCAAGAGCCCTGATTGCTAAGGAGGCAGACACATCAAAGGAAGGAGAACCGAAAACCCAAATCCCTCGCTGTCGATTCTGACTCATGGTGACCCCGTGTGTAGCAGAGTAGAACTGCTCCATAGGGTTTTCTTGGCTGAAATCTTTATGGAAGCAGATCGCCAGGTCTTTCTCCCGAGGTGCTGCCAGGTAAGTTAGCACCACTAACCTATAGGTGAGTAGTTGAGCACAGCCCGTTGGAGCCACCAGGATCCTGGAAGGAAGGAGAGAAGGCCCTAAATGGGGGATGTGGGGCAGAGAGAGGCAAACCCAGCCTCCTTCATCACTTCCCCCTACACTGCCCCCTTCCCCCTTGGTGGGGACCCTGTGAACTGAACCCACCACTCACTCCCCAGCAAGGCTTCTATTCACTACAAGGAACTTCCATCCACTGCTTGACCCCAGAAAAGGTTCCTTGGCCTCAGGCCTTTAGCCAGAGATGCCCACCCGGGGGCCATCCCCCAGCTTCTTAACCAGGATCTCTGGGCTGGGCCCCTAGAGGGAGGTGTTCTGGCTGTTACCGTTTCTGCCCGTGAGCATCTGGAGGAATCGCGGACATCCCACTTCTACGGTCCAGCCCGGCTCGGCGGAGGGCCAGCAGCTCATGTTGTCCCACAGCCCTTCGCACCCTGCTGGGGAGAGCAGCAGCATCAGACACAGATGAGCGGGATCCAGGGACCCCTGCACCCTGTCCCCATCCCCAGCACCCTTGCCAACCTCAACACCCGCCCCAAGAGGACTTTCTTGCATTTCTTGTGGCTTCCAAAGTTCCCGTTAGACCCCTTCTCCTTGAGATCAGGACCCAGTGGCGTCTAGCGTACCTTTTCATTTCCAAGACCTTGGACTCTGCCATCCAGATAGTAAGTGCTCAGTGGTGAAAACATAATCGAACAAACAATGAGTGAACACACAGTGTCTCATTTGTGCTTCACAAGCGCAGGTCTGGATTTCTCCAGGGTAGAAGATGGCACATCTTGGCCTCAGCTTGCATCAAATACTGGACAGCACTGGGCCTCCAACCTAGCAGCACAGTATAGCCGCCGAGAGAGTTTAAAAATGTACCTAAGCGTGTCCTCCACCCAGGGATTTTGATTTAATCGGTCTTGGGTGGGGCCCAGGTATGATACTGTGTTAAAGCTTTTTTGGTGATTCTAACTTGAAGACTGGGTTGAGAACTCTTGGTCCCAAGATGGTCAAACTTTAGCCAGCTGACATCAGAATCATCCACAGGGCTTGTTAAAACACAGATTGTTGGACCCCACCCTGGGGCCTGAGAATTCGCATTTCTAACAAGTTCCCAGATGATGCGGACTGCTGGTTTGGAGACCACGCATTGAGGACCGCCGTCCTGGTCTGTGGAAGCAGTTACACCAGAGTCGCCACTGGATTTGTGGTGGGGTATTGTTGAGAGTCACCGCCACCCCTCTGTCAGTTTGTCGTACCGTGGTGGCTTGCGTGTTGCTGTGATGCTGGAAGCTACGCCACTGGTATTTCAGATACCAGCAGGGTCACCCATAGTGGACAGGTTTCAGTGGCGCCTCCAGACTATGACAGACTGGGACGAAGGACCTGGCGATCTACTTCTGAAAAAATCGGCCAGAGAAAACCTTATGGACAGATAGCAGCAGAACATTGTCTGATGTAGCGCCAGAAGGTGAGCCCCTTAGGTTGGAAGGCACTCAAAGTATGACTGGGGAAGAGCTGCCTCCTCAAAGTAGAGCCGACTTTAATGATGTGGATGGAGTCAAGCTTTCTGGACCTCCATTTGCTGATGTGGCATGAATTAAAATGTGAAGAAAGCAGCTGCAAACATCCATTAGTAATCAGAATGTGGAATCAGGGCAGATTGGAAGTCATCAAAAATGAAATGTAACACGTAAAGATCGATATCCTAGGCATTAGTGAGCTGAAATGGACTGGTATTGGCCATTTTGAATAGGACAATGTGGTCTACTATGCCAGGAATGACAAATCGAAGAGGAATGGCATTGCCTTCATCGTCAAAAAGAACATTTCAAGATCTATCCTGAAGTGCAATACTGTCAGTGATAGGATAATATCCATACACCTACAAGGAAGACCAGTTAATACAACTATTATTCAAACTTACCCACCAACCACTAAGTCCAAAGATGAAGAAATTGAAGATTTTTACCAACTTCTGCAGTCTGAAATTGATCAGACATGCAATCAAGATGCATTGATAATGGTGAAATATTGAAGTTGTCAAGGATTTCATTTTACTTGGATCCACAATCAACGCCCAAGAAATCAGCAGTCAAGAAATCAAACAAAGTATTGCATTGGGCAAATCTGCTGCAAAAGATCTCTTTAAAGTGTTACAAAGCAAAGATGTCACTTTAAGGACTAAGGTGCACCTGACCCAAGCCATGGTGTTTTCAATCGCCTCATAAGCATGTGAAAGCTGGACAATGAATAAGGAAGACTGAAGAAGAATTGATACATTCGAATTATGGTGGTGGCGAAGAATACTGAATATACCATGGCCTGCCAGAAGAACAAACAATTCTGTCTTGGAAGAAGTACAGCCAGAACGCTCCTTAGAAGTGAGGATTGGGAGATTTCATCTCAAGTACTTTGGACATGTTATTAGGAGGGACCAGTCCCCGGAGAAGGACATCATGCTTTGTAGAGAGTCAGCGAAAAAGAGGAAGACCCTCAATGAGATGGGTTGACACCATGGCTGAAATGATGGGCTCAAACATAGCAATGACTGTGAAGATGGCGCAGGACTGGACAGTGTTTCTTCCTGTTGTACATGGGGTTGCTATGAGTTGGAACCGACTAGATGGCATTGTTGAGGATGTTGCTGTCTACCTCACAGTGTTCCCTTTATGAGACCCCTTCCTGGAAGAGAACTTAATCTTGATGCCAAGAGATGCTGAACTTCTCCTAAACAACTAATATATTTCTATCCTTATAGTCATTGAATCTTTTTTTTTAATTTTAATTTTTGTTGTTGAAAATATACACAGCTGAACATACACCAGTTCAGCAATTTCTACATATACAATTCAGTGACACTGATTACATTCTTCAAGTTGTGCGACCATTCTCACCTTCCTTTTCTGAATTGTTCCTCCTCCATTAATGTAAACGCACCATCCCCTGCATTTCCTGTCTAACATTTTGAGTTGCTCTTGTCAATTTGATCCCATATAGATAGTTCTTTGGAGCCCTAGCAGTTAAGCGTTGGACTGCTAACCAAAAGGTTGGCAGTTCAAATCCACCAGCTGCTCCTTGGAAACTCTATGGGGTGGTTCTACTCTGTCCTATAGGTTCCTATGAGTCAGAATCCACTCGAAGGCAAAGAACAGGTTTGGTTTTGGTTTTTTAGATAGTTCTTTAAAAGAACATAATGCTCAAGGCAGGCATTCTTTACTAATTAGCTAACCTATTGTTCAGTTTAAAGAGGAATTCAGGGGATATTTTTGGTTTAAAGTTTCAAGATTACCTCAGGGCAACAGTTTCAGGGGTTCATCCCAACCTCCATGGCTCCAGAAAATCTGGATTCCATAAGAATTTGAAATTCTGTTCTGCATTTTCCCCCTTTTGATCAGGATTCTTCTATAGAATCTTTGATCAAAACATTCAGTAATGGTAGCGGGGCACCATCCAGTTCTGGTCTCATGGCAAAGGAGACATTTGTTCATAGAGGCAGTTAGCCACACATTCCATTTCCTCTTCCTGTTCCTGACTCTCCTTCTTCCTCTGTTGCTCCAGGTGAGTGAAGACTGTTGTACTTTGAATATCTGCTTAGAAGCTGTTAAGACCCCAGACATGGAATCTTAAAGCTGATTTTATGGTTTCCTCTCTGACTTGGCTGCTAGGAAGCTCAGAGCCAGGTTTGCGGCCCACTTCTAGTAACTGAAACACGTTGCAATGGATCAAAAAATTACTGGGTGTCTTCAACGCAAAACTAGGTGTTGTCTAAGCACTGCCTGCTGGGTTATCTGATTCTGGTTAGTGGCCGAGTGCTTAACCACTGCATCACAAGGGTTCCTGACCTGTATTCAGGTGGCACCAACCCCAGACTTTCTAGTGTCTTCCTTGCCATAGCCAGGCTGACTCCTAGGGGAGGAAGTCCATGGGGAAGAGGGAGCTGGAGAGAAAGGTGAGAAGGTGGAGGGAGACAAGGGTGGGGCTGGGAATGGATCTGGGAGGAGGCAGAGAGAGCAAAGCAGGCCTAGAGAGGTGTGTGTGGCCTGTTTCTCCACCCACCCCCCCGCCCCCCACAGTGGGACCAACCGGTTTAGGAACAGAGGGAGCCTGAGATCACGATGCCGAGGTGGGGGTTTCAGGGGCAGACCAGCCCTGCAGTGACCAGGGAAAGGCTGGTGGGGATGCAGGGGACTCCTGGGGCCCGGAGGGCACGGTTCTCATGCGGCTCTCACAAGGACAAGAGGAAGCAACCATGGGACGGAGGAGCTGGGGCTGTGTAGCCTTCGAGGAATCTGGGAGATGAGAAAGCCCTTGGATAGTCTTGGACCCTCACCCTAAATCTCAGGTGATCCCTGAAGGAGGAGGCGCTTGGATGCTCTTTATTCTGGACTCCCCGAGGGCAAGAGGCAGGGCTGAGAATCACAGTAGAGAACTTACTATGCATTAGAAAAGTTCTGTAATTAGCATATCACATCTGTGATATCACAGCCCTGGTGGTGCAGTGGTGAGGAGCTACGGCTGCTAACCGAAAGGTCGGCAGTTTGAATCCACCAGCCGTTCCTTGGAAACCCCCTGGAGCAGTTCTACTCTGTCGCAAAGGATCACTATGAGTCAGAACCCACCCGACAGCAACGGTTTTTTTTTTTTTTTTTTTTGGTATTGTTTAGGATGAGGTCCCTGGTTTGCATTTGATTATCAACCTAAAGACGGGCAGTTTGAACTCACCCAGCAGCGCTGCGCAAGGTAAGGCCTAGTGATCTTCCATAAAGCTTACAGCCAAGAAAACCCTATGGAGCAGTTCTACTCTGTAACCCGTGGGGTCCTCACGGGCTGGAGTCCACTCAATGGTGACGAGTTTTAACGGGTTATTGCTCAGGATGAGGCTAGGATAAAATAAATAAATTGATTTAAGGAAAAAATACTGAAGAACTCACAGTGCGTGGCACGGGGCTGTAACAACCCATGTGACTGGCGTGGTGGGCGGGAGGGAGGGAGTGTGTCCTGAGGAGCAGGGGGGCCCGCAGGGTCACTGTCCTCATCCCTGCAGACCCCACCCCGTGGAGCCTCTGCTCACCCAGGGGACCCCTCTTCCTGCACACACTGCGGTGGGGAGGGGGCACGGGGAGGGGGCTCTCACAGCCCCCAAGGCTCCTGCTCTGACGGGGGAGGGGCAGTGCACAGGCTGAGCGGGAATGGGGGGTGCTCCCGGCTCACCTGTGGACCGGATGTCCTGGCCCAGCTTTCTCTGGGAGCTGTGGCAGGGACAGGGCGAAACCCAGGACTCGGGTCTCCATGGGATCCTGGGCAGTTTTAGGTCCTGAGTTGGGGGTGGCGAGGCGGATTCGAGGAGATAAGGAATTGGGGGGCTTTGTAAACTGGGTTCTTGTTTCGGACCCTCCGGTGGTCAGGGCCTCTGGAATGCCCCGGTGGAAATGAGCATAATTAG